ATTTTTAATACAGGTTTTTTCAAATGCAGGCCAAACAAATTTCTTTGGTTCCTTCTCCTTCTGTCCTTTCGGAAAGTCATAGAGTTTATAGTAGTCATCAAGTCATTAAAATTATCTAGGCCTTGTGATTACTGAAACAACCATTAATTAAACATGTATTTATGTTAATTATATCTGTAACGTTTGAGGCATGGAGGCGGGATGCAAATGCGAGTTGCTTTTATTGATTGTAGAGCTAATAGGGTCCAGAGTTGCAGAGGTTTGAATAACTGACGAGTTCATGACAAAAGCAAAACCAAACTACAAAACCAAGAGACAACGTAACATCAACAGAGTAACATCCACAATGCAAGACCAAGACTGAACAAACACAGGGGTATAAATACACAGAGGGGAAATGACACACCTGGGACTAATGAGGGGCAGAGCTACAGGCAGGTGGAACAGATAACAAGGGGGCAGGACCAGGGAGGAGACACAGAACAACAACAAAAAGCACATGTCACAAGAAAACAAAAAGACACATGGCTACCATAGAGGGGGCCAAAGATGCACTGAGAGGGACAAAGGGAGAATCCGTGACAGAACCCCCCTCCTAACGCGCAGCTCCCGAGGCGCGAAAAACAAAGGCCATCCAAAGTGAGAGCCGGTTAGGAGGAGGGACTGGGCAGGAGACGGGACAGGAGACAGGACAGGAGACGAGACTGAAGACAAAAGTGGAGAGAGAACAGGAGACTGGAGTGGAGATACAGGATACAAGAGGGAAGTCTGGACAGTGGAACAGACATGGTTACTGGGACAGAGACATGGACAGGAATGGGTACAAAAAGACCAGACACAGGAACAGGAACCTGGATAGAGACTAGAACAGATATATACAAGGTGACAGGGACAGAAACAAAACTATGGATTGGAGACTGGACAGACATGGGGGCACACACAGAATTAAGAAGTTCATGTAGGTGAAGGAACTGGGAGGTTGACTGGGCAGGGAACTTGAAAGGCGAGGAGAATGGTACTTGAACAGGGAGCCGGGGAAATGTTCGAAGAGCAGGACACTGGAAGGTCGGCACTGGAGCAGGACGCTGGGAGGTTGTCACTGGACGCAGAAAGGGGTCGCTGGGAGGTTGGTGGCGGAGCGTGATGCTGAGAGGCCGGCGCCGAAGCGGGACAGGAAGTGAGAAAAGGATTATCCCAGTGTGCAGAAGCAGGAACTGGGACTGGTGACCCTGAGACCACGGGCAGGTCTGGAGACGTGGAGGCAACCAGCAGGTCAGGGAACTCTGAAGTGACATCCTCGGCGGCAGGCTGGGCCACAGCGACGTCCTCGGCGGCAGGAGGGCCTGCAGCGACGTCCATGGAGGCAGCCTGGGCCGCAGCGACGTCCTCGGCGGCAGGAGGGCCTGCTGCCACACCCCTGACGGCAGGAGGGCCTGCTGCCATGCCCCCGGCGGCAGCCTGGGCCGCAGCGACGTCCTGGGAGGCAGGCGGCCCTGCTGCGACGTCCTGGGAGGCAGGCGGCCCTGCTGCGACGTCCTGGGAGGCAGGCGGCCCTGCTGCGACGTCCTGGGAGGCAGGCGGCCCTGCTGCGACGTCCACGGAGGCAGGAGGGCCTGCTGCAACGTCCACGGAGGCAGGAGGCCCTGCAGCGACGTCCACGGAGGCAGACGGCCCTGCAGCGACGTCCACAGAGGCAGACGGGACTGCTGCGACGTCCACGGAGGCAGGCGGGACTGCTGCGACGTCCACGGAGGCAGGCGGGACTGCTGCGACGCCCCCGGCGGCAGGAGGGCCTGCTGCGACGTCCACGGAGGCAGGCGGCCCTGCAACGATGTCCACGGAGGCAGGCGGCCCTGCAGCGACGTCCACGGAGGCAGGCGGGACTGCTGTGACATCCATGGCTGCTGGCTGAGCTGAGAGCAAGGAAGCTTCTCTCTCTTTAACTGGGAACAACAACTGAAGCCGATGCAGCAGATGATAACTCTCCTGAAGTCTGACCTCATTCTCCTTAATAAGTTCCTGCACACTCGCTGCTTCCCTGTGTGGTCTTGCATTCTGTAACGTTTGAGGCATGGAGGCGGGATGCAAATGCGAGTTGCTTTTATTGATTGTAGAGCTAATAGGGTCCAGAGTTGCAGAGGTTTGAATAACTGACGAGTTCATGACAAAAGCAAAACCAAACTACAAAACCAAGAGACAACGTAACATCAACAGAGTAACATCCACAATGCAAGACCAAGACTGAACAAACACAGGGGTATAAATACACAGAGGGGAAGTGACACACCTGGGACTAATGAGGGGCGGAGCTACAGGCAGGTTGAACAGATAACAAGGGGGCAGGACCAGGGCGGAGACACAGAACAACAACAAAAAGCACATGTCACAAGAAAACAAAAAGACACATGGCTACCATAGAGGGGGCCAAAGATGCACTGAGAGGGACAAAGGGAGAATCCGTGACAATATTTATTTATGTTGAAAATTAATCTGATCTCAATTTTGAAAACATTCCTTCTCTTCCCCTCCCTCTAAGTATATCAATAAACATTAGGATATGACTGATCTTAACTACCATACAAGTTTAAGGACATAATATCTACTATATATAATATACTGAAAAGTCAAAGCAATGAAACAACCAAAACACACTTTGAAACCATGTTCACGTTAGCCTAACGTCAAAAAGGCAGGTAACGACAGCTGTTTAATCCTCAAATAGTAGTGAATTTGACTTTAAAATATATCATATTGTTGTAACTACACACACGTTGGTTTTCTATATAAATATTGTAAATCAGTGCATTTATTGACTGTACCAAAAGACTCAGTTCTGTCGCTGAGTGTTTATGGGTTTGAATTGCCCCCAAAGAACTTCCTGGAACTATCTGAAGTCTACATGAATCATGTGACCATCAAGCATTTTGAACTTCCGTTGACGCTACTCTCTCTCTATACGGCTCTGATACTGTAGTCCTCGTTATGCCCATATTAGGAACTCCGGGTCTAAGCCCAATTTCTCTATGGCCAGAACGAATAGGGTTTTTGAATGTTTAGCCTTGGCCAATGCTTGGCCAGAGCCTTTTTCTCATAAATACAGAAGCACAACTATCAGTAGCAAAGAAAATACGAGATTACAAGAAAAAAGTATTACATTTTCAGAATTTTATTTAAAAATATATTTATTGGAGAATTTTTCTAGGCTAATTTTTATAGAAATAGATCATTTTTGACGATATACAAATATTTGGAAAACTTTAGATACATTTATTTAATGTAATTTTGAAATCTTACAACAGTTTTGCAATTTGTCTGAAAGTGCTGTATAACATTACTGTAAGTTTTATATCTAGACACTAAAGAATTCTGTAACTTTCCTATATGGACAGAATTTATTTTTAATTTTCTTTGACATAAAAATTCTGTACATTTCCTCGGATGGAAAAAAATGGCGTAGAAAAATTACCTAATTTTTTTCCATGCGAGTATTAGGCTACAATTACCACCTTGTTTTTCTTGCTTAAGTTAGACAATTTATAGAACAAATACATAATTTTGAATAAAAATTGTCTTTTTAGCTAAAGTTACATAATTTTGAGATAAATTACATAATTTTAAGTCATATTTACCTGATTACATAAATTTTCTATGCTGTTTTTTCCCAAGCGTGTATAACAATAAAATAACCCCCTTATTTTAGTGTTATAAAAATTATAGAAAAAATTACATAATTTTTCTGTGAAAATTCAGTAATTTATTTAAAATTACATAAATTTGAGATAAATTGCATAATTTTGAGTCAGATTTACATGATTTTGAATCAAAATTACATGATTTTTCTACAATCTTAGAAATATTCAGTAATTCTTAAATATACAAAAATTTTGAAGACATTTACCTTATTTTAATATGAAAGCAGAATATGTAAAGCCTCTTTACAGAGATAGAACAGTTCTGGAATTTATTTGTAATTATTAAATATTTACTTATTTAGACTCACTGTGAGTAAGGGTCACTGCACTTCCTCACCATAAAGATTTTCACTAAATAACCCTAACCCTCATCCAGCTATTATATAATTTTTCTTATAAATTTCTGTGTGGATATAGAAAAATTCCATAACTTTCCTTTAAAGATTTGGAAAAGTTTTGTAAATGTTCTGTACAAACCTATAGGAATTCTGTACTTTCTCTATAATTTCTAAATATTTCAGTGACTGAGGACCATTGAACTTACCATAAAGATATTCAGCAAATAATACTAAACCTAAACCAAGACCAATATAACATTTCTGTAAATTTTCTCTATGGACATAGAAAAATTATGTAAAGTTTCTATGTAGATATACTACAATTCTATTAATTTTCTGTGTACATAGTAGAATACTTTAATTTATCTAATTATTAAATATTTCCATATCAAGGCTAACAGTGAGTAAGCACCACTGCACTTCCTCAACATGAAGATCTTAAACAAATAACCCTAACCCTAATCCAACTATGATACATTTCTGTAAATGTTTTATATTGACATAGAACAGTTCTGTAAATTTTCTATGTAGAAAGAGAAAAATTCTCAAATTTATCTATAATACTTAGATTTCTTCATATCTATTTTAACAGTGCCTAAGCCCAACTGCACGTCCTCACCATAAAGATCTTGTGCAAATAACCCTAACCCTAACCCTAACGAACAACCCTAACCCTAGGGTGATTTTTGAAACTAGCCCTGTTTGTAAACATAACCCTTGTCCCAGTTCTAACCCTGTGTGTCATTCTTGAAATGGGCCCCAAACATCATCCCAACCCTAATGTTGGGCCTACATGTCATCATTTTCCTAACCCTAATGAACAACATTAACCCTAGGGTTATTTTTAAAACTAGCCCTGTTTGTAAACATAACCCTTGTCCCAGTTCTAACCCCATATGATGTTCTTGAAATGGGCCCCAAACATAATCCCAACCCTAATGTTGGGCCTACATGTCATCGTTTTCCTAACCCTAACCCTAACCCTAACCCTAATGAACAAACCTAACCCTGGGGTTATTTTTAAAACTAGCCCTGTTTGTAAACATAACCCTTGTCCCAATTCTAACCCCATGTGATATTCTTGAAATGGGCCCCAAACATAATCCCAACCCTAATGTTGGGCCTACATGTCATCATTTTCCTAACCCTAACCCTAACCCTGGGGTTATTCTTAAAACTAGCCCTGTTTGTAAATATAACCCTTGTCCCAGTTCTAACCCTGTATTTCATTCTTTAAATGGGCCCCAAACATCATCCCAACACTAATGTTGGGCCTACATGTCATCATTTTCCTAACCCTAACCCTAACCCTAACCCTAGGGTTATTCTTAAAACTAGCCCTGTTTGTAAACATAACCCTTGTCCCAGTTCTAACCCCAGTGTGTCATTCTTGAAATGGGCCCCAAACATAATCCCAACCCTAATGTTGGGCCTACATGTCATCATTTTCCTAACCCTAACCCTAATGAACAACCCTAACCCTAGGGTTATTCTTAAAACTAGCCCTGTTTGTAAACATAACCCTTGTCCCAGTTCTAACCCCGTGTGATGTTCTTGAAATGGGCCCCAAACATAATCCCAACCCTAATGTTGGGCCTACATGTCATCATTTTCCTAAACCTAACCCTAACACTAACCCTAATGAATAACCCTAACCCTAGGGTTATTCTTAAAACTAGCCCTGATTGTAAATATAACCCTTGTCCCAATTCTAACCCCATGTGTCATTCAAGAAATGGGCCCCAAACATAATCCCCAACCCTAATGTTGGGCCTACATGTCATCATTTTCCTAACCCTAACCCTAGGGTTATTTTTAAAACTAGCCCTATTTGTAAACATAATCCTTGTCCCAGTTCTAACCCTGTGTGTCATTCTTCAAATGGGCCCCAAACATAATCCCAACCCTAATGCTGGGCCTACATGTCATCATTTTCCTAATACTAACCCTAAAACTAACCCTAATGAACAACACTAACCCTAGGGTTATTCTTAAAACTAGACCTGTTTGTAAACATAACCCTTGTCCCAGTTCTAACTAGATGTGATGTTCTGGAAATGGGCCCCAAACATAATTCCAACCCTAATGTTGGGCCTACATGTCATCATTTTCCTAACCCTAAACCTAACCCTAACCCTAATGAACAACCCTAACCCTAGGGTTTTCCTTAAAACTAGCCCTGTTTGTGAACATAACCCTTGTCCCAGTTCTAACCCCGTGTGTCATTCATGAAATGGGCCCCAAATATAATCCCAACCCTAATGTTGGGCCTACATGTCATCATTTTCCTAACCCTAACCCTAACCCTAATGAACAACCCTAACCCTGGGGTTATTCTTAAAACTAGCCCTATTTGTAAACATAACCCTTGTCCCAGTTCTAACCCTGTGTGATGTTCTTTAAATGGGCCCCAAACATAATCCCAACCCTAATGCTGGGCTTAAATGTCATTTTCCTAACCCTAACCCTAATACTAATGAACAACCCTAAACCCAGGATTATTCGTAAAACTAGCCCTGATTGTAAACATAACCCTTGTCCCAGTTCTGACCCCATGTGTCATTCATGAAATGGACCCAAAACATAATCCCAAAAGTAATGTTGGGCCTACATGTCATCATTTTCCTAACCCAAACCCTAACCCTAATCCTAATCTAACCCTAATGCCCAAGCCTAATCCTAGGGTTATTCTTAAAACTAGCCCTGTTTTTAAACATAACCCTTGTCCCAGTTCTAACACCATGTGTCATTATTGAAACGGGCCGCAAATATAATCCCAACCCTAATGCTGGGCCTACATGTCATCGTTTTCCTAACCCTGACCCTAACCCTAACCGTAATGAACAACCCTAACCCTGCGGTTATTCTTGAAACTAGCCCTGTTTGTAAACATAACCCTTGTCCCAGTTCTAACACCATGTGCCATTCTTGAAACGGGCCCCAAATATAATCCCAACCCTAATGCTGGGCCTACATGTCATCATTTTCCTAACCCTAACCCTAACCCTAACCCTAATGAACAACCCTAACCCTGGGGTTATTCTTAAAACGAGCCCTGTTTGTAAACATAACCCTTGTCCCAGTTCTAACCCCGTGTGATGTTCTTGAAATGGGCCCCAAACATAATCCCAACCCTAATGTTGGGCCTACATGTCATCATTTTCCTAACCCTAACAATAACCCTAGGGTTATTCTTAAAACTAGCCCTGTTTGTAAACATAACCCTTGTCACAGTTCTAACCCTGTGTGTCATTCTTGAAATGGGCCCCAAACATAATCCCAACCCCAATGTTGGGCCTACTTGTCATCATTTTCCTAACCCTAACCCTAACCCTTATAAACATCCCTAACCCTGGGTTATTCTTAAAACTAGCCCTGTTTGTAAACATAATCCATGTCACAGTTCTGACCCCGTGTGATGGTCTTGAAATGGGCCCCAAACATAATCCCAACCCTAATGCTGGGCTTACATGTCATCATTTTCCTAATACTAATCCTAAAACTAACCCTAATGAACAACACTAACCCTAGGGTTATTCTTAAAACTAGCCCTGTTTGTAAACATAACCCTTGTCCCAGTTCTAACCAGATGTGATGTTCTTGAAATGGGCCCCAAACATAATCCCAACCCTAATGTTGGGCCTACATGTCATCATTTTCCTAACCGTAACCCTAACCCTAACCCTAGGGTTATTCTTAAAACTAGCCCTGTTTATAAACTTTACCCTTGTCCCAGTTCTAACCTAGTGTGTCATTCTTGAAATGGGCCCCAAACATAATCCCAACCCTAATGTTGGGCCTACATGTCATCATTTTCCTAACCCTAACCCTAACCCTAACCCTAATGAACAACCCTAACCCTGGGTTATTCTTAAAACTAGCCCTATTTGTAAACATAACCCTTGTCCCAGTTCTAACCCCGTGTGATGTTCTTGAAATGGGCCCCAAACATCATCCCAACCCTAATGTTGGGCCTACATGTCATCATTTTCCTAATCCTAACCCTAATGAACAACCCTAACCCTGGGTTATTCTTAAAACTAGCCCTATTTGTAAACATAACCCTTGTCACAGTTCTAACCCGTGTGATGTTCTTGAAATGGGCCCCAAACATAATCCCAACCCTAATGTTGGGCCTACATGTCATCATTTTCCTAACCCTAACCCTAACCCTAACACTAATGAACAACCCTAACCCTGAGTTATTCTTAAAACTAGCCCTATTTGTAAACATAACCCTTGTCCCAGTTCTAACCCCGTGTGATGTTCTTGAAATGGGCCCCAAACATAATCTCAACCCTAATGTTGGGCCTACATGTCATCATTTTCCTAACCCTAACCCTAACCCTAGGGTTATTCTTAAAACTAGCCCTGTTTGTAAACATAACCCTTGTCCAAGTTCAAACCCAGTGTGTCATTCTTGAAATGGGCCCCAAACATAATCCCAACCCTAATGCTGGGCCTACATGTCATCATTTTCCTAATCCTAACCCTAACCCTAACCCTTAGGTCATTCTTAAAACTAGCCCTGTTTGTAAACATAACCCTTGTCCCAGTTCTAACCCCATTTGATGTTCTTGAAATGGGCCCCAAACATTATCCCGACCCTAATGTTGGGCCTACATGTCATCATGTTCCTAACCCTAACCCTAACCCTAACCCTAATGAACAACCCTAACCCTGGGGTTATTCTTAAAACTAGCCCTGTTTGTAAACATAACCCTTGTCACAGTACTCACGCCCGTGTGATGTTCTTGAAATGGGCCCCAAACATAATCCCAACCCTAATGTTGGGCCTACATGTCATCATTTTCCTAACCCTAAACCTAACCCTAACCCTGATGAACAAACCTAACCCTAGGGTTATTCTTAAAACTAGCCCTGATTGTAAACATAACCCTTGTCCAGTTCTAACCCAGTGTGTCATTCTTGAAATGGGCCCCAAATATAATCCCAACCCTAATGTTGGGCCTACATGTCATCATTTTCCTAACCCTAACCCTAATGAACAACCCTAATGAACAACCCTAACCCTGGGTTATTCTTAAAACTAGCCCTGTTTGTAAACATAACCCTTGTCCCAGTTCTAACCCCAGTGTGATGTTCTTGAAATGGGCCCCAAACATAATCCCAACCCTAATGTTGGGCCTACATGTCATCATTTTCCTAATCCTAACCCTAACCCTAACCCTGATGAACAAACCTAACCCTAGGGTTATTCTTAAAACTAGCCCTGTTTGTAAACATAACCCTTGTCCAGTTCAAACCCAGTGTGTCATTCTTGAAATGGGCCCCAAACATAATCCCAACCCTAATGTTGGGCCTACATGTCATCATTTCCTAATCCTAACACTATCCCTAATGAACAACCCTAACCCTAGGGTTATTCTTAAAACTAGCCCTGTTTGTAAATATAACCCTTGTCACAGTTCTAACCCTGTGTCATTCTTGAAATGGGGCCCCAAATATAATCCCAACCCTAATGTTGGGCCTACATGTCATCATTTTCCTAACCCTAACCCTAACCCTAACCCTAATGAACAACCCTAACCCTAGGGTTTTTCTTAAAACTAGCCCTGTTTGTAAACATAACCCTTGTCCCAGTTCTAACCCTGTGTGATATTCTTGAAATGGGGCCCCAAACATAATCCCAACCCTAATTTTGGGCCTACATGTCATCATTTTCCTAACCCTAACCCTAACCCTAACCCTAATGAACAACCCTAACCCTGGGGTTATTCTTAAAACTAGCCCTGTGTTTAAACATAACCCTTGTCCCAGTTCTAACCCTGTGTGATGTTCTTGAAATGGGCCCCAAACATTATCCCAACCCTAATGTTGGGCCTACATGTCATCATGTTCCTAACCCTAACCCTAACCCTAACCCTAGGGTTATTCTTAAAACTAGCCCTGTTTGTAAACTTAACCCTTGTCACTGTTCTAACCCAGTGTGTCATTCTTGAAATGGGCCCCAAACATAATCCCAACCCTAATGTTGGGCCTACATGTCATTTTCCTAACCCTAACCCTAACCCTAATGAACAACCCTAACCCTAGGGTTATTCTTAAAACTAGCCCTATTTGTAAACATAACCCTTGTCCCAGTTCTAACCCCGTGTGATGTTCTTGAAATGGGCCCCAAACATAATCCCAACCCTAATGTTGGGCCTACATGTCATCATTTTCCTAACCCTAACCCTAACCCTAACCCTAGGGTTATTCTTAAAACTAGCCCTGTTTGTAAACATAACCCTTGTCCAAGTTCTAACCCAGTGTGTCATTCTTGAAATGGGCCCCAAACATAATCCCAACCCTAATGTTGGGCCTACATGTCATCATTTTCCTAATCCTAACCCTAACCCTAACCCTACGGGTTATTCTTAAAACTAGCCCTATTTGTAAACATAACCCTTGTCCCAGTTCTATCCCCATGTGATGTTCTTGAAATGGGCCCCAAACATAATCCCAACCCCAATGCTGGGCCTACATGTCATCATTTTCCTAACCCTAACCCTAACCCTAACCCTAATGAACAACCCTAACCCTGGGGTTATTCTTAAAACTAGCCCTGTTTGTAAATATAACCCTTGTCCCAGTTCTAACCCCGTGTGTCATTCTTGAAATGGGCCCCAAATATAATCCCAACCCTAATGTTGGGCCTACATGTCATCATTTTCCCAATCCTAACCCTAACCCTAATTAACAACACTAACCCTAGGGTTATTCTTAAAACTAGCCCTGTTTGTAAACATAACCCTTGTCCCAGTTCTAACCAGATGTGATGTTCTTGAAATGGGCCCCAAACATAATCCCAACCCTAATGTTGGGCCTACATGTCATCATTTTCCTAACCCTAACCCTAACCCTAACCCTAATGAACAACCCTAACCCTGGGTTATTCTTAAAACTAGCCCTATTTGTAAACATAACCCTTGTCCCAGTTCTAACCCCGTGTGATGTTCTTGAAATGGGCCCCAAACATAATCCCAACCCTAATGTTGGGCCTACATGTCATCATTTTC